TGTTGTTGTTGTTGTTGTTATGTGCCATCAAGACACCTGTGACTCATAGCGACGTTATGTACAATAGCCCTAAACCCTGCTCTGTCCTGTGCCAGTCTCACTGTCTCTGATACACCCACTCCCATTACTCCAGTCACTGAATCAATCCATGTCATAGAGGGTCTTCCCCTCCTGTACTGTCCCTCTCCAAGGACTGGTCCCTCCTTGCAACATGTCCAAAGTATGTCAGACGAAGCTTCAGAAGCCTTACCTCCAAGGAGCCACCCAGTTTAACCCTCTCCAAGATGAACCTGTTCGTTTTCTTGGCAGTCCATGGTATATTCAATACTCTTCTCCAACACCACAGCTCAAACGTATCAATTCTCCTTCTATCATCCCCAGTCATTGTCCAGCTCTCTGATGCATAGTAAGTAATTGCAAAGACCATGGCCTGTACCGGACACACCTTAGTCTCCAGAGTGACACCATTGCTCTTCATTCTTCTGGAGAGGTCCCTAACAGCAGACTTTACCAACTGAATTAGAGTTTTAGTTTCCTGGTTGCTGGTGCCAAGAGTGTTGACTGTGGAGCCAAGCAAACTAAGGCTGTTAACAATCTCAATCTCTTCACCATCCATCCTTTTGCTGCCAATTGGCCCAGTGGTGAGAATCTTTGTCTTCTTATTGTTGAGCTTTCCTTGATCCATATTGAAGCAGTCCTTGACCTTCTGCAGCAAGCGCTTCAGGTCCTCTTCAGTTTCAGCAAGTAGGGTTGCATCATGCAGATTGTTGATGAATCTTCCACCAATCCTAATGCCACACTTCTCATAGAGTCCAGCCTCCTGGATAATCTGTTCTGCATATAGGTTGAAAAGGTATGGAGATAGGACACATCCCTGGCGTATACCCTTCCCAATTTATGTATTGAAAACGAATATTGAAACAGGAGAAAAAGAAAATTAATATTAAAGAGAGAAGAAAATTAACATTATTGTGTACCAACTAGGTACACAATTAAGTATTGCGTACCAGATAGGAAGCTAGGTTTTTTTAAAATTCAATGCTCAAAACAATCCTATAAGGCTTGGGAGCTCAAAGGCCCTGAGAAATGAAGTCATTGTCAAGGACAACAGAGAATTGACCCCTGCCTGTCCCTGTCCTTCAAAATTCCTTGGGAATTAACTGCCAATGGAAAGCGAGGGAGACTTCCAGCTGGAAGCTGCCTTTGTTGGTCACTCCCAAGCTTCAGTGCAGCAGGTCTGCTGAGGAAGGTGACAACCTGTGTTGGGGCATCCTGCAGGAGACAAACAAGGCATTTAACACATTGCTAGTAGAGAAAGTTTAATTGTCTTTTAAAAATAGGCTGTACAGAACAGATTATGAAAATACATCATGTTTGTGAAAATGTCCTCCCACTTTAGGCTTTAGAGGTGCCTTTTCAGTGTGGATAAATTTATGGACCACTACTTTCTACAGCTATTACTCAAAGCACACTTTCAGGATGATGTGGCACAATAAAAGCAGAGAAGAAGGAGTCCTGTGAGAAACAAACTCCTGGCATGCTGAGCCAGGATGAACAGATGCAATAACCGGGCAGAGTCCCTGGGATCTTATCTTCCAGGGGCAGAAAACAGTGGCCTGAATGAACTGAGAAGGCTGCTGAACTGTTCTCTGTTATTTATGAATCACACGACTTAAAAAGTCAACAATTACCCTGAAACTGATGAACATTCTTTCCTAATGATTCGATGATGTTTTACTGTGTTCTTGGGTCTTGTCCTCCCTCACACCCACACACTGTGAGTAATGATTCACATTTTTGTTCTTCAGCTGTAATGTGATACAGGGAACTCTGGTGGTTTAGTCTCTAAGAGTTATGTTGCTAATGTAAAAGTGAAGCCTTCCTGACAGTTCAGATCCACCAGGGAGAAAGATGAGCAGTCTCCTCCTGTGAAATTTACAGCCTCTGAAAACCTACCAGAATGTCAGCTATGAGACAGCTGGAGCATCAATTTTATAAGCTTTGAGTAATGGCAATGAGTCATTTTACTGTGTTGCAGTAGTGTCGAACATATTGTAATGTAACTGGGGAACCACATTTTCCACTCCCTTCTGGAGGATCAAAATGTATATCAGGTACATACCAGGAAAAGATAAAATTAATGAATGGGACCTTCTAAAGATTAAATCCTTGTGTGCATCAAAAACATTTTCCAACAGAGTGAAAGGAAAATCTACCTGATTGGGGGAAAAATATTTGGCAATACCATTTCAGACAAGGATCTAATATCAAAAGTTTACAGAATCTTACAGGACCTCCACAAGAAAAAGACTGATAACCCAATTATAAAATGGGAAAAAGACATGGAAAGACTTTTCACAGAGGAAGATACTTGTATGGCTGACAGACATATGAAGAAATGTTCAAAATCACTAGCAATAAGAGAGATGCAAATCAAAACCACAATGAGATAACATCTCGCTCCAGTAGCAGTGGCAAAGTTTAACAGGCTAGCAAGTAATAATCTGGAGATGATGTGGAGAGATAGGAACTCTTATACACTGTTGGTGGGATTGTAAAATGATACAACCACTGTGGAAGGCAATTTGGTGTTTCCTCAAAAAGCTGAAATAGAAATTCCATAAGATCCAGCTATTCCACTGCTTGCAATATACTCCAAGAGAATGAGATCTGAGACACAAGCAGAGATTTGTACACCAATGTTATAGCAGCATTATTCACCATCACAAGAACATAAAAATAACCCAAATGTCCAACCACAATCGAATTGATAGAGGAACTGTGGTACATTCACATGATGGAATACTACACAGCACGCATAAGCAATGATTTTGAAAAGCACTTCATAACTTGGGAGGGACTGGAGACCATTATTGCTGAGTCAGTCCCATAAAGACAAATACTGTATAAGATCATTATTGTAGAAATAGAAAGATAACTAGTAAAATATGTATGAGGATCCAAGGAGGAGAGGGAAGGAACAGAGGGGTGAGGATGGGCAGAGGAATAAGCATAAGGTCACACAATTTGATGGGTGGAGGGAGGGGTGGGTAAAGGAAATGGGAAAGATCTGGTGTGAAAAACAATGTATATGAACTTTGTAAGCAAACAAGTATAAAATAAACATTTTATTTTAAAAAATAAAGGAATACTCAACATAGAATATAAAAATAATGTATTATGGAAGACACTTTATGTGTGATGAGCAGTCCTTGACAACAATTAAGTACTCAACTATTAACCAAAAAGTTGGCAGTTTGAATCTACCCAGAGACATCCTGGAAGCAAGGACTAGAGATTTATTTCCCAAAGAGCAAATTCTGCAAATTCTGCGGAGCACATTCCAGCTCTACAACACACGGACCAGCATGAGTCAAAATCAACTCCGCAGCACTGGGTTTTGGGGTATGTTTGATAGTGTCTTTTTTGTTTAGCTATCCTATACTTTTAGTCATATATTCCGCTTGTTGTTTTTTGTTGATTGCCATCGAGTTGAGCACGACTCCATGAATAAAAGGCCTGAAGCCTTTCTATAACTATCAACTTTTATCAAAGTTCATAGAGTTTCCAGAGGCATGCTATTTAGAAAGTAGGTGCCACTCCTGCTTCCAAAAAGAGAACATTAGAAAGTGATTAAAAAACCAAGCAAAAATTAGATTCCAATCATTGGTGCATAAACATATCCACAGCCACTGAATGTCCCAGTTTTGAGAGAACAGTCACAGCTTTAAGTGTTCCATATCAATGATAAGTTTTATTTTCAGCAATCAGTCTGTAATCAGTAGGAATTTTACTTCTTTCTTGAGAAGTCTTTTTCCAAATATCATCTTACTCCAAACTCATACAAAACAAGTAAATCTTCCTGGCTAAAGCAAAGCCTAGAATCTCTAAAGTCAGCTCAGTCTCCCAGAAGTTCTTGGGAATCACTGAAGTAATAACACGAGGGCTATGAACAGTTTGAAAGGCCTATTTTCTGCTTAGTGAACAATATAATGATTATTAGTAAAATATATAGATAGCATATTTTTTATAATTTTGATCACATTTAATACTGTCTGGCATCTACAGCCAATTACTTGGCACTCTGTTCCTCTGCACAGCTATGTTGTTAAGTACTGTTGATTCAGAACCAATTCATAGCTGACCCTGTAGAGGGTTTTTAGGGGCAATATGTTGCATAGGAGGAGACTGCCCATCTTTCTTCAATAGAGCAGCTGGTGGATTTGAACCACTTATCTTTGGTATGGAAGTGCAGCTCCTTACCACTAGGCCACCAGAGTTCCCTTAACTATCGTTTCCAAAATGTCAAGAGTAAATTTTCTTTAAATAAATAAGTGTTACGCTTCTGAATTTTAGGATTCTATAGCAGGAACAGAAAGGAAATTTTCTCTGCCAACAAGGTAAATGAGACCATCATTGGTCCTCATCATATATTTTCATGAGTCTTTCAGGATCAAAAGATTTCTGACTGAGAAAAGCAGAACTGCACAACTCTCTCATGAACTACAATAAAAATGAACAATAAAATCAAGTACAACATCAAGAGAAGATATTGATGAAGAACTAAGGAGACACACTCTGAGAACCCACACATGTGATGGGGTGCATGGCCTGGTGGTAAAGAGTTGCACTGCCGTTCTGAAGGCACACAGTTCAAATCCACCAGCTGCTCTGAGGGAGAAAGATGGGCACTCTCCCTCCATGCAATTAAACTGCCTCTGAAGAACCACTGGAGGGAGTCAGCTCAAGATTCGATTATGATTATGCTTCCTCAGGTTCTGATTGAACAGTACACAAAAACAACAGCACATTTTCTCTCATATCAAGTTCACATTCTATTATAGCAAGTTTAGAATTTCATCATAATATGATCATCTGAACACACATTGGGAAACTTTTGGTTTCTTCCTTCACTTTTATGCTTCTATATTGAGACTAACTAACAAAAATGCTAGAACTCTGGTTTGGGTGGGGGGAGGGAAAAAAGGCATCTTTGGTACCTGTATCCCAATAGACAGGCATCTGTTCTTCTTAAAGTGATCCTTCTTTCTGTCCTCCGTAGTGACGGTGGCTATGGTGGTCGTGGTGGTGACAGTGGCTGTGTTATTGCCCATGTGCTGACTCGCAGGGCCATGGATTTGGGCATTTGCAGCTTCGATGGCAGCTGTAAGAGCCTTCATACTGTCCAGGCTCTCTGTGGAGTTGCTGAGTCCAGACTGGCTGATAATGTCTCCTCGTTGGCCCTGTCCATCCATGTAGGCATCTTGGGCAGACTCTGTGCTACTCTGGGCTGTGATAGAAATGAAAGGTTTCGTGGTAGTTCTGGGTGGGACTGGAGGTGGTGTCTTCTTATATGTTGTAATGCAAGATGACACTGAAAGACAGTGAAAACAGAGACACTGTGATTTTGGTGTACATCATCACTTATGATAGTGTCACTGACATTCACTGGACACCAGGGCATATGGAACACTTAAGACATTTAACACTAAAACAAAGCCACTGATCGTTGTTTTTGTTATATGCTATCTAGTCACCTGTGACTTATAGCAATCCTATGTACAACAGCCCTAAATCCTGCTCTATCCTGTGCAATCTCACTGTCTCCCACTCCCATTACCCCAGTCACTGAACCAATCCATCTCATCAAAGGTCTTCCTCTCCAGCATTGTCCCTCCACCCTCCCAAGCATGAAGTCCCTTTCCAACGACTGGTCCTGCCTTGCAACATGTCCAAAGCATGTCAGACAAAGCTTCAGAATCCTTGCTGTTGATAGTCTAGGTGAAATCCCAACAAGGAGATGATGCAGGTCTCCTCCACGTGACCAAAATGAGGCCTGAAGGCAAAGTAGTTGAAGCATAAAGCTACTAATTGAAAGGTCAATGGTTCAAACCACCAGCGGCTCTCTGGGAGAAAGAGGTGGTATTCTGCTTCTGCAAATATTTACAGCTTTGTAAGCCCTTTGGAATTGTTGTACTCTGTCCTATAGAGTCATTATAGGTTGGAATCAACCTGGAGGCAACAGGCAGTGGAATGAGGTGACCCATCATAAAAAAGCACCAACTTCTAAAATGAAAATCAATATGAATCAAATATGAGTCAACAGTAAAAGACATGATCAGTCATCTGTCAAAATCTTCCTGGACAAGGTGCCCTGATACACAATATGAATAGACCTGCATACCACTAGGCAGTCCCAACCTTCTCAAAACACATTAAACACAACTAAGGTTATATGCCCCCAAATAGCCACATCTAATCTAAGCTTTGAGTGGCTATGAGTCCCCTGAAACTCGAAGGCACTTAACAACAATAACATAAACAAAGAGATCAGTGGGCCCAGTGGACAGAAAGTGATGCTACCAAGCTAAAGGTTGGTGACTTTTAATCTGCGGCACTCAGGCCTGTCTTTCATTGTTTTTGTTCAAACATTCCTCTAGGTCGTTTAACCCTGGTGTCTTGTGGTTGCTGTGAGGCTGAACACTGTGACACTGATGTGTCAAATGCGTTAATGGCTGGTTACCCAATGCAGACAGAGAGTGGGGTAGAGCTCCCTGATTAAAACAAACTTGGAAGCAGGAGTGGCATCCACTTCCGTAATAGCTTGCCTCTGGAAACCCTATAAACCTGGAGAGAGGATGAGAGACACCCAAGCATTGAGGACTCTCCTTCATAGGGTCGCTATGAGTCACCTGTGACTGATAGCACTTAACAACAACAACAAGGTTAGATAAAACATCCACTTGAAGAAGATTCTGGTGGTTGCTGTTGTTGTTAGGTTCTGTTGAGTGAAGTATGACTATGACTCATAGCAATGCTATGAACAAGAGACCTAAGCTCTGTCCTATCCTGTACCTATAGTTAGTCATAAACAATGAAAAAGAAGAGAAGTAAAGAAATTTTGAATATATACGTTTTGATTCTAAGATGTATGAGGTGCTTGGGAGATTGTTTTCAGAGAGGAAAGGAAAGAATAACACAGCTCCCTATTACAGCTCCCAGAGCGCACTCTCATTAACAGTCAATGCCTCTTCTCATTCTTCCTGTCTTCCTTTCTTTCTTCCTTTCTCTCTCTCTCTCTCTACTTGATCACAACTTGAACTTTTTTACATTGTTCCTAAGAATATAGATTTGGTGGACTAGTGGAAAGAAGCTGAGCTGCAATCCTGATGGCATTCATGGTTCGAGGCCACCAGCTGTTCCTTGGAGAACCACGAGCAATCTCCTCCCATGTGATTAACACATTGGCACACATTTTTTAATTGATGACTGTGCTTAGAAACACATTTTTTTATGTATTACTGAATAATTAACAAATAAATGCATTAGTACACTTCATACGAATGATCTTCCTTTTTTATTAATTAAAATGTGCGGGACGGCTACAGTGTCTGAAAACTTGCGGCAGGGTCAGCGATAGGTTGGTTGTGAATCGATGGTACACATCAACAACAACAACAAAGAATACAGATAGCACAACATTTGTCCATCTGCTGTTTTCCCCTCTTACTATTTAGTGAGATCAATGACATGATACTTTCAGGTGTTAGCACAATTACGTATCACCCTATCATCACCCATAGCCTTTACCAACATTTTGCATCAACTTTTGATCTGAATTTTTTTGTTTGATTCGAAGCAGAACCACCCACTGAGAGAAAATGTGAAAATAAATTTAAATTCTGGTTTGTAAGTTCACAGGAGCTCTCTGCTCTCTGAAGTCGAGGCCACGGCTCCCGGTCAGGGCACAGTGCAATGGCGTCTTGGCCGCACCAAGGCTCCGCTGAAGCAGCATGGAGACCCTACTCCCCAGCAACCTGATTATACACTGGGCAGCTCAAAGAAACTTTACACATCTGTTTCTCATTTGCAGTATATAGTTTAGGGGCAGGTGGGGGTGGAGGGACAGACGAAAAAGGAGTTACATTTCTAAGTAAAAACTCCTACCCATAAAACCCCACTATCCCTTCACTGCTTTTCTATAGACTTTTATCTTTTTAAAATACAATTCCAACTCTTGTGCTTCCATCACTTCCTCCCTCTGACTCCACACCAGCACCTGCATCCTCTGTGACTTTTCCATCCACAGATGGCTTCACGGTTGTTCCATCTAAGCAGCCACCCTTCTCATTCCATTCCAGTGTGATTCTTGGGGCCAGTTAGGCCACCTCACAGAGTTAAATAAGTGATTCAGCATTCAAGCTGTCTCCTGAGGCTACTCAAAAGCCGCACACTATAATCAGCTATAAACACAAGGACTCTTGTATGCTGTCCTATCATCTTATTCCTCTGTTATTTGAATAATTTCCTTAGAAAAAAGAAAAGAGGACAGACATGTTTACTTTCTTCCCAGGGATTACTGAGGAACTGCAATATTATATATACTCTTGAAGAGGAGTATAATATAATATGTACCCATCTCTCTATTTCCTGGTGGTAGCTCATCCCTGGAGGACCTTCTTTCTAAGTTTATTACAAGACACACGCATTTAACAATTCAGAGTATAGCCACAAGCTGACCACAAACTAAGGTGTCAAAGAGGCTCTGTGGCTAAGCAGTGCCAGTGGGCAGTGACCCAGAGCAGGGCCCGAGAGTGGACCCACCTCCCTGCAGCCCAGTGTGAGTTCTTCCCATAAGGCCACAGCTAAGCCTCTGGTTGATTCAGTGGTATAAACACGCACAGCACTTATATGCTATCTCACTCAACTGAAATCCTTCCATGCACCTTAACCACTGCAAAGGCACCTTCAAGTTCGCAGAAAGCTCTGAATGATGCTAGCCCTGTCTGGGGTAATGCTCAATTATTTATCTGTAGACTCAGGAGGGAGGAGTAAGCAAGAATTAGGATAGATTTAATCCATCTGTTTTAATCTTATATTAGGTTGGTTTAGGGAGTTCTGGTTACTTAATGGTAAGGAACTGTACTGACAACATAAAGGTACATGGTTTGAATCCATCAGCTGCTCTGTGAGAGAAGGATGGGCAAACTCCTTTCATGTCATTTACTGCCTTTGAAAACCCACTGGCAGGTCATCTATGAGTCAGTTTTGACTCCACCATACACGAAAAGATTGTTTAAAAAAAATGGGAAGTCATTGTAAAAAAATGGATTCTCAGAACATTCCACAGAAATTAACAATGTATCCTAACGTGAAATATACAATCTTCTGAATTGGAAAAAAATAATAATAATCTTAGGTGTCAAGTTGGAACCAGCTCACAGCTGGATTCGAACCACTAGTGAGTGGGCTGTGGCCTCTGAGTTAGTAGTGGAACTCTGTAGGGACTGCGCCACCAGAGCTCCCCGGAACAATCTTCTGGATTCTTTGCAACTTATTGTTAGCTACTCCTGGCTTCCTCTTTCTGTGTGGATAAATACAAACTGGACAATGATGTCAAATAGCCTCATTACATCTGTGATTATTAGAGTAAAAATCCAGTCTTCACGCGGTAAGTGTGAAATAAATAGGGAGTGCAGGGTGTCATATTATTTGCAGGGTAATGGCTGGAAATGGGAACTGAGCTTCTTGACTGGGAACTCTATACACTCCTGGGGTGAACTGCAATTTAGCGTCACCTGGTGACTGTTGGCAATTACTTTTGAACGTCCACAGAAGTAACGGTGTGTACTGTGATCAGAGGAGACTCCCAGGACAACAGCAGCAATGCCTGGAGACTCCAAGGGTTAGACTGGACTAGGAAAGCCTGAGCAGAAGGCTTCCCAACAGACAAGCCTGGCCCACTTTGAATGAGGAAGCAACAGACACAGGGGTCACCTGAGAGGCTTTATCACCATGTTTCTCCGAAGTGTAAACCTTAGTACAGTTCTGCTGGAATCTTACTCAAAGAAGCATAGTCAAATAGTGAAACAGGAATTTTAAAAGATTTCAAATTTTTAAGATTTTTTTTTAAGGAATCTAAAGGAAATCCTAAGCACAAGTCACATTTCTTACAATTCCCTTTCCCCACTCCCTGATTCTTTTACACCCTAATACTGTGCAGAAATTCATACAGCTAAACTTCCCTTCCTTCTCCCACAGCATCATTGTTTTCCACCTTTTCAGTCTAAACCTTAGACCCTCTGTTCTCAGTCCAAGGGTGATTTTAAAGTTCTCCTTTTACTATCACAAGTGATTCATAATCTACTAATAAGACCCCCAGTGCTGAGAGGCATTAGATAAAGGGAGACCAAGGAGGGTGAAACACTATTATTCAGAGTGAATAAATCTTGTCAGACATTCCTCTAGGTCCTATAATCCTGGTGTACACGTTGCTGTACAGTGGTAACTTGTGGTTGCTGTGAGGCTGAACACTGTGACACTGATATGTGTCAAATGTGTTAATGGCTGGTTACCCAATGCGGACAGAGAGTG